TCTATCGTATCATGAACTCATTAATTACTTCTTCGCTGGTATGATAAAAATAATTTTCAAAAAAATTAATTAATTTGTTTATCAAGTCTGATCACAGGGTGATAACAGTAAGAAAACTATTGATGGTTTCTGCTACACCTTTACTTAGTCACAACACTAGTAGATACTCACAAGCAAGCAAGAAAAATCAAGTTCCTAATTCAAAGGCCCATATAAATCGCTCTACCACACGTACAGTTGAATTGGTAGATACATTTGTGGTGAGAGCTGTCTGCTAGCCGAAAATTGTAGACAGCAGTTTACGTTAATGTTTACTTTCCGAATCGGGGTAGGAAAAAAACAATAACAAAGCTTAGCTAATCTTGAGGAACTCATCAACCAATCACAGTGGAATTAACGTGTGCAAATAAGATTCGCAGATATATGGCTTAACTTTCTAAGAAACGGTCGGTCACAAGCAGTACAGAATAACCTTGGGCAAGAAAACAACCAATAAGATGACATAAAAGTCTATAAATACCTCTTGATTTTCTCAATAAGTTTAGACGTTGCCTGGCTCTTGTCTTCGGTCGTTATGCATTCACATTTGGCAAGTGTAGGTACTTCATCCTCCAATTGGGGAATCACTAGTGGTCGTTTACAGAATAAAACTTATAGTTAACCAGCATTAAAATTTCTTTGAACTGATTTTCTTGACTTGCACGTACGTCTAAGTATAAAAATTCCACTATACCATATTTAGCACGTAATTTATGTGATGAAAATAGTGTCAGACATGAACTAACTGACCTTCTTAGCACCACTAAATAAACCATTTCCTTCACCCTTACAACATCAAACTTTGTTATTGTATTTCTTATATTTATGATCCTCTCAATTTTTTCGTTTTGTTTATTTTTTTCATAAGTGTCAACGTAATTTAAGCTGTATTTTAACTGTTAATTTTGTATTTCCCCTCGTTATACTATATCAACAGAACATTAGACCCACTAATCTTTAACATGCTAAAGTTTCCAAACTGAATCGACAATACCGTTTGATACAAACTGACTGTTACTATTATTATTATTATATTTATTATTCTCATTTTGTACTTCGAATATTTTTGACTTTATATCGTTAATGTGGACAAATTCCTCTGGTTAATTTTGTTTTAATTTTATTCATATTCTGAGTAAATCAGATGCAATATTGTGACAAATACTGAGAATTCCATTCTGCATTATAAGTACTGTTTTTGGAATAAAGCAGAGTATTATTATAAAAGATTATTTTGCTAGGTATATCGCTCTTGAATTGTAGTTGTCTACCTCTGGTAGAAACGGTTAACTACACATGTGAACAAGTGTATAACCAGTTGATAAATATTGGCGTCCCAAAGGAAATCCTAGAAGAATTGTTATTAAGGTGTACCATGAATGTAAATTTCAAATTTGATGGCATATTTTACAGACAAGTGGATGGAGTGGCGATTGACTTCCCGTTGCGTTTCTCACCACTTAATCAAATTTAGCTGGTTCACCTCTAATTTCACCTTTTCTATTATTATTATTGTTCTATCGTATCATGAACTCATTAATTACTCCTTCGTTGGTATGATAAATATAATTGAAAAAAATTATTTTCAAGAATTAATTTGTAGAGATTTCATTTGCTTTTCACGTCTGATGATGGACTGATAACAGTTAAAGCAAAAACAACAGTGGTTTGTGCAAAATAATATGGTACTACCGTTTATTTCGTTTGCTTCTCATCAGCTCAGCTGCTTACAGATCAAAGTCGGTATTAAGTATATCTCCAGGAACAATTTTAACATACTTCCACACAGAGTCAATCAATATATGAATAAAATAATAACATAAATAATGATAATATTAAACACTATTCCGAACAGTAATAGTCATGCACAATGGAAACTTTCGACAATACGTAATCAGATGACAGAGAGGGTGAAAATATCTAGTTACCACGGCAAAGAAAGACTGATAACTGCTTCTTCTTCCTAAACGCATCAATCAACTTTCAGGCGCTTGATGGAGATCGCCTCGGCAAACTTGTGGAGAATTGAACTCTTTTACTTATTGATAATTTTGAACGATCTTGTGATGTCTACCTCATCACCCGTGTCAAAAGATGCCTGACGATGGCACTGTTTGAAGCATTTGTTTGCTTTAGACATACATAAGCTTTTTGGTACATATTCAGAAAGTCGTAGGTATGCCCTTCTTCTTTCTGTTCTTCCAATGTAACTGCTCCCACAGATACATGTAAATTTGTGTGAACAGTTGGAGTTAACATGAGAAGGATATCTATCGATTTTCGATTGTACCAGAGAAGAGCAAGTTGTTCGATAGAGGGGACTTATCTTCGCTGCAGGACAGGCGATGATTAGTGACATCCTCAATCTTCTGTTCACCATTGCTGCAATGTTTTCACCTTTATAATGAAGTTGAATGTTGATGGGCTTTTTCTCCACTGTGATTTGATTTACACTTGAGACTTCAGATCTTCCGTACTTGTTGATGAATCTTCGAGTGCGACCGTTGATTTTTCTTTAAAAATGAACTCTGTGTGGGTAAGTATGTTAAAAACTGTTTCTGTAGATATACTTAATAATGACTTTGGCTTGTAAGCAGCTGATCTGATGAGAAGCCAACGAAATAAACAATGTGATGGTACCATATTATTCTGCACAAACCACTGTTGTTCTTGCTTCATTCAAATTTATTAAGGGGAATAAATGTGATCACAGTTGGATAACCGTTGATGGCTTTTCCTACACCCTTATTTAGCCACAACACTGGTAGATGTTCCGGAGCGAGCAAGAAAAATCAAGTTCCTAGAGTAATGACCAATATAACTCCCTCCACCACAGGTGCAGTTCAGTTGGTAGATACAATTAGAAGTGGCTAGCTAGTCTAGGTACTACATCTTTCAAATGAGGAATCACCATCGGTTGTGCAGAATATAAGACTTGTAATTTGCCAGCATTAAAGGTTCTTTGAATTGATTTTCTTAACTTGTTAGTAATTATTTCGCTGGGTATATTGCCCTCGAATTGCACTCGTATGCACAAAGGCTTCTTGTTTATGGATGGGGAGTAATCCTTTTCAACTTTCTTAGTTATATGTTTCCAGATGATATCAAGGACAAAACCATGATATCTTAGGACATAACATCTTTATTCACAAATGTATCTTTAGTAGAAACACTTAACTGCATATGTGAACAAGTGTATTACCAGTCGATAAATATTGGCATCCCAACGGAAATCCTAAAAGAATTCTTATTAAGATGTACTATGAATGCAAATTTCGAGTTTGATGGTGCACTTTACAGACAAGTGGACGGGGTAGCGATGAGCTCCCGATTTAGTCCCATTTTGGGAGATTTCTTTCTAAGTAAATTATAAAATGGACCTTCGAGCAACCACCTTATCAGAAGATTCTTATTTTATTGCCTGTATGTGGATGACACCTTCATTCGGATAGGAGTACAATAATAACTCAATTCAATGAAGTACATTCTGCTATGAAAAACATGTGCGAAGAGGAATCCCAAGACAGAATTGCCTTTCTGGATGTCTTACAAGAAAACCAGATGGTAATATAAAGAGAAATTAGGATAGGAAAAGCACATGGACATCTATGTTGTGGCTGAACATAGGTGTAGGAGAAGCTATCATCAGTTCGATGTTAGATTACCTGGTCTAAACCAGCCACAAAGCCAGCACTGAACAATCCTTCTCTGTCATTTATCGGGTACCAAATAAATTGCGGAAAATGTCTAGGTAGCGAATTCTCCAAATGGCGGAGGCTATTGCGATTCGCGTGAAACAACCGGTGCTTTGTGGGCAGCAGAAGCAAGTCTAATCAGTCACTACCACTTCCCTCGCCAGCCTTCAGTAGAGACTATAAATTCTTGAATTTGTAATATTATCTTACCTAAATTTTCTGACATTCAGTTTATGGTTATGTTGATGCTATTGAACTGTAATCTATTGATATTATTATTATTGATTCGATTTTATTTAAACGCTATTAATGTTGTTAATAACACTAATTCATTCACTATTATGGATGCATATAACTGTAGAACCTGATGAAGAGCATGTTATCGAAAAGAATACTCGCCGAAGAGATTGGCTAGCGGTCGCGCTATGTCGTGAATTGGCAGAAGTTAGAATTCATAGGCTGGTTGGCCATTGGATCGGGTCCCAGTGGCTTATTGGTCTACGAGCCAGCTAGCCTTGTAATCAGAAGGTGCTGGGTTCGAATCCTGACGGTGATGGGTGCGTACTGTGAAGAGTCCCAAATTAGGACGAAACAGCTTACTGTCCAGTACTCCCTGGTGGTTTTCCAACGGTTCTCTAACCAATGTGAACTCATGATGAAATCCTGTAACAAATCAATATTTGAATACCAATACTCGAATATTCTTTGTTGAGTAACCATTCTTTTGAAAAAAATTTAATGGGCTAGAGAACCATTGAAACCCGCCAGCGAATACCTGATAGCCAGCTGTTTTGTCAGCCTATTTTGGGAATCATGAGCATTATGCACCCACCACAGCGTTCTCGAACCCAGGACCTTCAGGTTACAAGTCAGGCTCGTAGATAGACTACTGAGTCACTGGCACCCGACTCAGTGGCTAGTCCATGAATCCTAACTTCTACCAGTTTGCGTTTTTAACGCGACCACCACCTACCAATGTCATTGTGGCAGGAGAGGGGTATAAATTCTAACTCCTGACCTGTTGGTAGACCCCTTGCACTGGTCACACGACATCTCGCTAGGTAAATCCAGGAAGCAGTATCCTCCTGTAGTGAGCCATTTACTCATTAGCAAGCGTTAGATTAATTTTCCAGAGTTAGGTTGTCATGGCGATATGATTTGTTTTTTTTTAAAATTTGACTATGGGTTGATATTAAAATTGAAAAATTTATATTTTTTCATAAAACTATTTTTATTTTTTTTAAAACATTTTTAAAATTATTCAAGCTAATTAATAAGGCTGGTATCTCGTTAGACGATCCTAGACTGGCCGAGTTTACAAAGGCGTTAAAAGAACTTCAAGGAAGTAAAACCAGCCAAAATATGATTCAGAGTAAATCATTAACATTGGACAGAGAGAAATTTGAAATGTAAGCAATCCTTATTATTGTTATTATTACCATTACTTTTTACAAGTTGATCACGAACTGATATCATTTAGAGAACCACTGAAAACCATCAGGGAGTTTTGGACAGCTGTTTCATCCAAGTTTGGGAATCATTGGTAGTACGCACCCACTGCCAGGACTCGAACCCTATGCTCGCTAGTGACTTGCTACAGGACGATAGTTTTCTGGAGTGAGTTCTAGTGAGGAGTCGTGACCAGTGAGGTCCAAGTGTGAAGATGGATGTCCCACCGACGACATTAGTTGGTACCAGTTGCGCTAAATGCATTACGATTTGGTAGAAGTTAGAATTCATGGGCTGGCTGGCCATAGGACCTGGTCCCAGTGGCTGAATGGTATACGAGCTGGTTCGCCTTGTAACCGGAAGGTTATGGGTTTGAACCCTAGTGGTGGGTGCATACTTTTGATGATTCCCAAACTAGGATGAAACAACTGTCCAGTACTCCTTGCTGGTTTTCAATTGTTCTCTAACTGATATCAATCCGTGATCAACTTGTGTAAACAAATTTAATCTTTACAAACCAACTATAGAAAATTACTATGGCTACTATTATTTTCTGAAACACTTAGTTCTATCGAAATACTGTGATGGATGGTGACTAGCAGTGGAATCCAACTAAGATATGCATTTCGTCCTATTTGGGGCTCGTCATCAGCTGGATACACCTACATTTTCTCCCAGTGAATCAGTGATGGTGTTCCCACTGTTCCGCCACTGAGACTCGAACCCAGTGCACCCATCGTTTTAAACGCCAAATCATCATCTACTATACCATTTGGACCAAGACGAGCCGTCAGCTGTTGTGCAAAGGGGTGTCAATTCAGATTCGATTTTTCTGTTGTTTGATTGGACGCAAATGTTTGGTTTCTGTGTTGACTTATGTTTGGCTGCTAGTACGGACACTTCAGTGATGTCTGGGGATAAACTTGAAGTGATTTGGTGGATGGAAATGAGCATCCTGGCTTCTACTGCTAACAGTCGCCGTCCACCACGTTTACGTTAAGTCCTCAGACGTTGTTGAAGCACCCGTACAAGGAGCTTACATACTAACACAGTCCAATAAATCAACAGGGGAAAATAAAAATTGAATTTTAGCTTAACGGCTTATATATATATATGGCAAAATTTTGTACACCTTATCCTCAACGCCGCACCATTTGCATAGATCTTCTGTGTTTTGTTACATCTGGCCTTCGTATTGTTATTCTTTACGGTCCTTCCACGTTTCCCATGCACCATTTGCTTTCCCTGGCATTCAAATCTATCTCCCTGTTATTTTATGCTTTTATGCTGGCCGATAAACATCCCCTTGTGTATATACTACTGATAAACCTTGTCAGTAGAACACGCCACAGTATCAAAACAAAGTTTACCAAGGAAGATTTTAATGTGTCGACGAATTGTTTTTGAACACATGAATGTGGTTTAAACTTCCTAATCACCAGGACTGTCACAAAATTTTAGGATATGCCCTTAAACACGTTTTATAGAGAGATTTATGTCATGTGTCTATGATATATTTGTTCAGTCGAAGTGCGAGATCGTCTGTTATCAATTTAATAGGTTTAGTGGATTCAGTTTGCTTGTGAAGCTGTAGTGAGAGGAATTTAGTTGAGGAACTCATCAACGAATCACAGCAGACTTAACGTGTGCAAATACGATTCGCAGATATATGGCCTAACATTCTAAGGAACGGTCACAAGAGGTGGAGAATAAGATTTAGCAAAAAAACAACCAATCAGAAAAGGTTGCCCCCGACTTACTGGTTTCACCTATGTAGTTGACCTAACTTACAGTCATTGCAAGGTATTTTGTGAATTATATTATTTTGTGTAATTGGGTTAACCGACAGGGTCCTTTAACCTACAGAGCTTGTCCTACCTGAGTGAGTTTTTAGGTTTAAATGCCACCCTAATTCCTACTTTATGAAGAACCCTACGTAGGGTCTCAGCTTTCCCCTCCTCACTCAGAAACAAGCTCTGTAGGCTAAAAGACCCGGTGGACCCAATTAAGCAAAATAATATAATTTACAAAATACCCTGCAATGACTGTGAATGAGGTCAACTACTTAGGTCAAACTAGTAGATCGGGGATAGTCAGATTGTCGGAACATAAGAATTTAGCTAAGGTTAGAATGACTGATCCCGAGAAGATAAGTAATTTAGGAGAATTAACTCAGCAATTGCACTGAATGCATTAACACACAACCACACAATAGGGTGGGAGAGGGTTAAGATTCTAAGAAGTAATCTATGTAGGTGGAGAGCGAGACAGACTGATTACTGAAGCCTGGTTCATAGAGTCTACACCCAACACAACATATGCAACAGAAATGACTCAACGCAAATACCAGAGATATGTATGGAAGATATTATTACCACCAGTCAGTCAGTGAAATCAGAGGAGGATAATAAATAATCTTAAAATTCTATTTCAATTCAATTCACATACACATTATAACATTCTAACAAGTTACTTATTTATTATGACTATAAAAACACTCGTCTTATTTCCTATCTGATTGTACTTGATTGATAACACATATTATTTTTGAGTGTACTTTATCTTATATTGAGTTTTATTCAAATATCTAATCAATTTCACTCATGTATATAAATGAAGCGAGAAAATTGTGTGAGTAGTGACTTGATATGATTATGAGTAGCAATAGTTTGTGCTTGAAACGTGGTCGCATCAGTTAATATTACTGTATGTATCTGTGTGATTTATCAAAATAAAATCTTATCTATAATGGAGTTATACTCTACCACAGTGCCCAAGTTTTATACTTATATCCTGTGAAGCTAGTTATGTCAGCGGTATTCAGCGTTCTTTATCCAAACACTATCCTCAACGGTTACCTGAATGGCTTAATAAAGGAGGAAAAAGATCCCACAACAGCCCTATTCTGGAACACCAAGCAAACTTGCAAATCAGCTTCTGAGGTATCTGCAGATTACGCGGAAATCTTGTCGAACCATAGAAGTGATGGCAGTCCACAGACACACACACACTGTTAAATCCTGAACTCTGCATACAGAAGAAGCTTATTCAGCCAACGAACCTACACTGGGTTTAATTTGCCTGGATACTTGATTTTTGTCAATAATAACTGTTCAGTTTTTAAAAAATTTAATCTTTCTCTCCCCCTTCCTCCCCAACTATTACACTTCTTGCAGGTTAGACCACGGATTAATGTCAGACAGAGAACTATTGAAAGCCAGCGTGGAATACTGGACAGCCAGTTGTTTTGCCCTAGTTTGGGAATCATTCACAGTACACACCCACTGGGTTTCGAGCCCAGGACCTTTCGGTTACAAGGCAAGCGAGCTCTTATACCATTCAGCCACTGGGACCCGATTCAATGACCAGCCAGCACATGAATCCTAACTTCTACCAATTCGTATACGAGCCAGCTTGCCTTGTAACCGGTAGGTCTTGGGTTCGAAACTCAGTGGGTGCGTACTGTCAGTGAGCCCCAAACTAGGCTGATGAAACAGCTGGTTGTCCAGTACTCCCTGCTTGGTTTTCAATGGTTCTCTAACTGATATCAATCTGTCTGTCTGTCTGGATTCAACACAGAACTTGGCACCGAAGTGCAGCAGTTCGAGTTGCCACGTTCTAAATAGCACACAAAGGTGGTAGACAAGAAGATGAGTGAAGAGAATCAATAGAGTTTTGACAAGTATAAGAGTGAAACAGAATGAGTAATGGTAGAAAGGAATACGAAAGATTACAGAGACTGAATACATCTGCGTAAGCCATTGACAACGATTTTGAGCCATGTCACCTATTGTCTCCAACCATTGATTTTTAGAGTCCCGAGTGCTCCAACCCGGAAGTCTGCATCTCCCTCCCTACCTGACTCAGTTTAACTGTCAAGGATTTCATGGATTGATGAGGCCATGTTTTCGTTTGGCCACCACTTACTCTTTTCCAACCTGCACCTATATCAGCTAGTAATGCCCGTCCGTCGGAGGAGGCGATGGTTAGTCATGCGCAGCACGTGACCTAGCCATCTTAATCTATGTATCTTTATAGCCTCGTCGATTGATTTTCCCTCTTTGCCCAGCACTCTACGCCTAACGTCAACATTACTTACCTTATTATGCCACCTAACGCGAGAAAGAGATCGTAAACATCTGTGGTCAAAAACAGACAACCTTTTCATGTCTTCAACTCGTATTGGCCATGTTTCATAGCCATAGAGAAGGACGGAGCGAACCGCTGAGCAGTACACACGTCCCTTGGTTGATAGCCGGATGTCACGCCTACGTCAGAGACGGTGTAAGTTAGCGAAAGCAGCCCGAGCTTTTTGGATCCGTGCTGAGATTTCGTCGCCAATCAATCCGTTGGTGCTGATACAACTTCCCAAATAGGTGAAGTGGTCAACATGTTCTATCACTTCACTCCCTATCAGTAAGCTAGGAGTTGACGTAGTCCAGTCCTGTAGCAGCACCTTACAGTTTACAGAGGCGAATCGCATGCCAAACATACGAAGATTGCTGCTCAAGGTGTTCAGAAGACTCTGCATTTTGTCAGCATCCTCCCCTAACAGGACTATGTCGTCTGCATACTCTAAATCCATAAGACTATTCCCTGGTAACAAGTCGATTCCTAAGTCGTTAAGTTCAGTTAAGGATACTTCCATTAACATATCTATGATGAAGTTAAACAGAAAAGGGGAAAGTGGACATCCCTGACGGACACCACTGGTTGTTATGAATTCAGATGACAATTCCCCATAAACCCTTACACGGCTACGTGAGTTTGAGTAGAGTGCCTTGATTAGTGCAATGTACTTTCTTGGCACTCCCTTCACAGTCAAACATTGCCATAGTATCTTTCGATCCACGGAGTCGAAGGCCGCCTTCAAGTCAAGAAATATGGCAATTGTTGGACGCCTAAAAGTGTGCCTATGTTCTAGGATCTGTCGGAGAGTGAAGATATGATCTATGCATCC